GAGAGGGAGGAGCCGCCTTCCCGCCAAGCAGGGAGCCCAATGCGGGGCTCAATCCCAGGACCCTGGGATCATGACCTGAGCCAAAGGCACACGCTTAACGACTGAGCCACCCAGGTGCCACGAGAATATAATTTTAAATATATTAAGACCCTTCTACTTTACAGAGATAAGAATTAAAAAAAAAAAGGGGAGCACTTTTTGAGCACTAGTGCTGTCCGTGTGAAACACCAGGCTGGTACTTTACTGTCCCACATAATTTTCACAACTAACCTAAGCAGGTACAAATTAGCCCAGCTCTAAAGTTGAGGAATCTGAGGCTTGTCCAAAGCAACAGAAGGAAGTGGCAGAGCAGTCTGATTTCAGAGCCTGTCACTTCACTCTCTACCAGAAAGTCTCGACTGTGAGACAATCTTCCCAAGGGGGGAAAAAAATGATGAACGAGTTATTTCATTAGCCCTCACACCAGTTTTCAGTCATATGGAATGTGATTTTAACTTTATTCAGAAAGCTTTCTGCACATCTTATTTTCACGTAAGAGAGAATTATAGATGTTTGCTTAAGGCTGAAGGCCATAAAGTTGAAAGGACTCTGGACTTTAGTTGAATTGCAAACTGGAAAAATCTGACCCGGAAGAGCGCTCCTTCCTCTCTGGGCTCCAGGACGCATCTCCGGGGTCTCCCACCCTAACCGTTTCTCTCAGTCCCCATCAGGGACCAGATCCTCCCCCTCTGCCCTCTGTAGGTCGCCTCATCCATGCCCTTGGTCTCACCGCCCCCTGAGCTCTCTCCAGCTCACGCCCCCTTGCAGTTCTCCAGAAGTAATCTACCTAGATAGCTCACAGGACTTTCAAACGCACCAATTCCAAAGTCTAAGTCATTTTCTTCCTTATCTACCCCTCCCTGGAACATTCCACTTTTTTCCTCCTATATTCTCCACCTTTGCACCACCACCCACCCACTTACCCAGGTGAGAAACCGGGGTGTCATTCCTCCATCTACCTTCAATAAGCCTTGAGGTCTTCTCATCACCGATTCTCAAAAGCATCCTCCTTTTTTCTATTCCCTCTGCCCTTGCCTTGGTTCGTTACGACCCTCACTACCTGTCCCCTGGACCACGCCCCGCGGCAGCTGGTCTCTGGCCGCCAACCAAAAAGCCCTGTTGGTGTGCGTGTTCTACCCTGTTTGCTGCGGCCAACACTGCGGTCGGTAAACTGTGTTCCCTCCCGCCACAACATAAAACCCTTTTCTGGTCCCTTTGTGCCTGCAGGCTAACAGCGTAAGAGGCCCTGCACATTCCGTCTACCCCACTCTACACTCCGATGTTAAATTTCAGGTATTAAACAACTTCGAGTTTCCAGAAGATATGCTGTTTTAGCCCTCTATGCCCTGCTAAATATGCACTTTTACTTCTTTGAACTGCTGATTTCCAAGGACTGGTTTTTCGAGAATCCACCTCCTTTGGGAAGCTTTCTTTTGTACCTTGTGCTTATTTCTTTCCTGGCCTTATTGTCACTCTATTGCTCTGCTTGTTCAGAGGTGTGTCTGCCTTTCCTACGTCAGATTCTTGAAGCCGGCACAATGCCTACCACACAGTGAATGCTCAATAATGGTACAATTTAAAATTTAAACTATATGAAATTATTATTATATCTCAAATGTAAAAAATTCAAAGACCACATCCAAGAGAATCTTATCCAGATCACACTCTGTTGGGATAGCCGTTCTACACAAGCTCCTTTGGAGTCGTGTTTATGACCGCGTATTTGTCAAGTACTCAGTACTACAACCTAGCAACCAAATGCAACAAGGGAATCTTGGATTAGGTTCTGGACATAAAAATACAGCTATAAAGGTAATTACAATCAGAGAAAATGGAAATGGATTGTATGTTAGGTGATATTGTTGAATTAATGTCAATCTTTTTAGTAATGATAATGGTATTACAGTCAGCTAGAATGTCCTTTCCCTAGGCATAAAAAACTTTATGAGGTCTGTACTTATTTTTTAGGAGTTCATTTTATTTTTATTTATTTTTGAGAGAGAGAGAGCATGTACACACGATGGGGGAGGCAGAAGGAGAGAGAGAGAGAGAGAATCTCAAGCAGGCTCCATGCACAGCATGGAGCCCGACATGGGACTTGACCTCATGACCTGAGCCAAAATCCAGAGTTGGATGCTTAACCAACTGAGCCACTCAGGCGCCTCTCAAATAATTCATTTTAAAGGAGCATAATAATATACAGAGAGATACAGCAAATGTGGCAAAATGTTCGATAAAAAGTATGAGTATTCTTTGTACTAATTTGCCAACTTCTCTGCATATCTGAAAATTTTCAAAATAAAACATTTGGGGCAAATGCTAAGAACACAACCAAAAATAAAATCAATAAATCTTTTGAAATTTAAGTATTAATATTGCTCTTGGGGTTTCTCCCGCCCAAATGTGCTGCCTGGTACCTTCCATTGCCATGCTCACCCCTTAAAGCCACTGCATTTCAACCCAGTCTGTGTTTTAGCTGCAAGGCACAGTTACCCCTCACAAAACTCTCCACAGTTCGCTCTCCTAGCTGGCCTTCACAAGGCTGTTCATTTTTATTCGCCTAAATGGCACCATATTGCACTTTAAAAACCTAAGCAAATAAAACTGTGCTTCCTAACTGGTACACGTAATACCTTGAGATCAACCACTGGAGCTTTTGATCTGGGAAGACTTGAGGTGATAAGGAATCACCGAGGTTGAAGAAGTAGTCTTGCTTTAATCCTCTCAGAGGATTAAAGTCTCTAGTAAGAGCTAGTTATTTTTTATTGCCAAGAAGGGCATAGGGCATAGAGCCCCATGAGCTCTCTCCAGCTCACATTAAAATTAAAAATTCTCTTAAATTTCTATTATATTCAGACAGAAGTTTTTAAAAGGCATTTATCATCTTTATCTAAAAGAGTTGGGGCGCCTGGGTGGCTCAGTTGTTAAGTGGCTGCCTTCGGCTCAGGTCACGATCTCAGGGTCCTGGGATCGAGCCCCGCATTGGGCTCCCTGCTCGGCGGGAGGCCTGCTTCTCCCTCTCCCACTCCCCCTGCTTGTGTTCCCTCTCTCGCTGTCCCTCTCTCTCTCTGTCAAAAAAAAAAAAAAAAAATCTTAAGAGTTGATGAACTTAGGTATATACCTAAGAGAACTGAAAATATATGGCTCCACAAAAACTTGGACATGGCGATTCACAGCAGTATTACTCATGTAACAGCCAAAAAGTGGAAACAGTCCAAATGTCTATCAACTGGATGGGTAAACAAAATGTGGTATATCCATACAGTGGAAAATTAGTCATAAAAAGGAACAAAATATGCATACGTGGCACAACATGGATGAATCTTGAAAACATTACACTAATCAAAGGATCTAGACACAAAGGTTATGTAATGTATGATTTCATTTATATGAAATGTCCAGAATGGGCAAATCCATAAAGACTAAGTTTATCAGAGTTTGCCTGGGGCTGAGAGCAGGGGGGGTCGGGAATGGGGGAATGACCCCAATGGGTACAGGGTTCTCTTTGAGGGAATGAAAATATTCTGGAGTCAGATGGTGGAGATGGTTGTAAAACTACTAAAAACCACTAAAGTGTGTATTTTACATCGATGAATACTATGGTATGTGAATTATATCTTAATTAAAAAAAAGTAATGGAAAGCAATTCCTACTTGGTCCCATTTTTAAGAACAGTCAAACTGGGTATTTACCCCAAAGATACAAAAGTAGGGATCCAAAAGGGTACGTGCACCCCAATGTTTATAGCAGCAATGTCCACAATAGCCAAACTGTGGAAAGAGCCAAGATGTCCATCGACAGATGAATGGATAAAGAAGATGTGGTATATATATATACAATGGAATATTATGCAGCCATCAAAAGGAATGAGATCTTGCCATTTGCAACGACGTGGATGGAACTGGAGAGTGTTATGCTGAGCGAAATAAGTCAATCAGAGAAAGACATGTATCATATGATCTCACTGATATGAGGAATTCTTAATTGCAGGAAACAAACTGAGGGTTGCTGGAGTGGGGGGGGGGAGGGATGGGGTGACTGGGTGATAGACACTGGGGAGAGTATGTGCTCTGGTAAGCGCTGTGAATTGTGCATGACTGTTGAATCTCAGATCTGTACCTCTGAAACAAATAATGCAATATATGTTAAGAAAAAAAAGAAGAAGAAGGAGGTAGCAGGAGGGGAAGAATGAAGCGGGGGAAATTGGAGGGGTAGACGAACCATGAGAGACGATGGACTCTGAAAAACAAACTGAGGGTTCTAGAGGGGAGGGGGGTGGGAGGATGGGTTAGCCTGGTGGTGGGTATTGAGGAGAGCACATTCTGCATGGAGCACTGGGTGTTATGCACAAACAATGAATTATGGAACACTTCATCTAAAACTAATGATGTAATGTATGGGGATTAACATAAGAATAAAAAAAAAAAAAGAACAGTCAAGGGGGAGCCCAAGGGCATGCTGGGTTTGGTTGCATCTTCAGTCTTCAAGTCACCATTGGCCAGAGTGAAGTGGCCCCATCCTATAGAGTGCGGGCAAAGCTCTCCATTCCCCCCTCCCCAGCCCTCGAGGGAGCACCTCTGTTAGCCTTGGCATCTGCAGGGCCCATTTCAGCATGCCCCACATTCCTACTCACCACCGTAATCCCAGCACTTCCTTCTAAGACCAACTGCCACGCAAGTCTCAGCCCCTATAGCTTCTTCATTTTCCTCATTGTGCTCACCATTTTTTATTCATCTCCCTCCATTTGGTTTTATTCATTGCTTTATCTCATCGGCCCAAGAACGGTGCACCGCTAACACCAGGGACTCAATAAATTTCTGGTGAATGAGTACACTTGCAAGAAGAGTTTACACAGAAATTTGTACCGTGTATTTTTTTAAAAATGAAGCTCCATGCTTCAAAATGTGTTTTTCTCCCATAAAAGGACTTTCTCCTCCATTTAAATATGTATCTTTAAGAAATCTCGCACACGTAGTATTTTATTATAGACAATTTAGTTTACAAATCTTTATACACTTTAAGGAAAACAATCCGGCATCATAAACATAAAAATTTCAATATGCGAAATTAAATTTACAACAAGAAAATAAGCATGAACTTATTTTTGCACTATGTGGTTATTGCTACACTACCTTTATAATTCCTATCCAGAGTCCGAAAGTGTAGTCAAGCCCTAAAAATGTAGCAGAAGCATTTCCGCACACTGGTATCCATAATCTAGTTTGTGCAGCAATGTTTCCACTAGACTCATAGAGTATTCATAGAAGAAAGAAGCAAGGGCTGGTCATTTGGTGGCCCTTTGGACTTTCTGCAACTCTTCAATGGGCTTCCACTGTTGGTTGATTGTTAGAAGCTTAAAAAAAAAAAAAAAAAGAAGGAGGAGGAAAACACAAATGTTTTTTAGGATCTGTCCTTCATCCTCATGTACCCTTTTGGGATTTGTCCACACTCCCCTTTGGAAAGAGCATCACCATAATATTTGTAGTCAAAGAACCATCTCTCCCCATCTCTAAAAACATGCACAAAACAGTAATATGGGCTCTAAAGAGCCTTTGGGTTCCTGAGTGTTAATAGGATCCGAAAGAAAGGTCATATATATTTGCCCACTTTCACGTAACAGGTTCTAGATTTCTAAGTTTCCCATGGTTTTATGTGAACTATAAGTTCAAACAGTGTGTCTGCCCCCAGTGAGTGGATGTATAATGCTCTAGCACAAGGGCTTGGCACATAGTAGGCACTTAACCAAACTTCCTCATTGTAATTACTCAACAAAGGTACAAATGATCTAAGTTATGCAATAAGTGAAAAGGGGCAGAGCTGTGGACAGTCCTTGACTTCCAAAAAACTCAAATTCAGAGACTCTCATTTATCCTCGCAAGTTTTCTATTGCCCCAGGATCTAAGAGATGTAGGTAGGCTGTTTTCTTTTTCTTTTTTTTTTTTCTATTTAAAAAAAATTTTTTTAATTGAATTCCAGTATCATTAACATACAAAGTTACATTAGTTTCAGGCATACAACAATTCCATACATTACTCGGTGCTCATGATTCAGCAACTCTATACATTACTCAGTACTTACAACAAATTCACTCCTTAATCCCCATCACCTATTTCCCTCATCCCCCACCCAGTTCCCTCTGGTAACCACCAGTTTGTTCTCTATAGTTAAGAGTCTGTTTCTTGGTTTGCCTCTTTTTTTTCCTTTGCTCATTTGTTTTGTTTCTTAAATTCCACATGAGTGAAATCATATGGTATTTGTCTTGCTCTGACTTATTTTGCTTAGAGATGCAGGTAGTTTTAAAGATTCTAAATGTCCTTCATTAGGTCCAACTCTGCTATTTGAAAGTTTTGTTAAAAAAAAAAAATTCCTGGGGCGCCTGGGTGGCTCAGTTGGTTAAGCGACTGCCTTCGGCTCAGGTCATGATCCTGGAGTCCCGGGATCGAGTCCCGCATCGGGCTCCCTGCTCAGCAGGGAGTCTGCTTCTCCCTCTGACCCTCCCCCCTCTCATGCTCTCTCTATCTCATTCTCTCTCTCTCAAATAAATAAATAAAATCTTTAAAAAAAAAAAATTCCTGACAGACCTAAGTAGTGTTAGTTCCAACAGACTAAATGTTTCTTACTTCCAAAATATTTAAAATGTTAAAAAATCTTTTCTATAGTCTTCAAAGAATGAGTGACTATTTGCTGATTTTGCTTAAAGAAAAGGCCACTCCTGTTTCCCAGAGCTCCTGTTATTTATCCCAACAGACCTCATATTAACTTTAGATAAATAATAGATACAAGGAGATAATATATTACAGTAATGATGAAAGTTAATATTTGAGTAGGTACTCTGGGCCAGCCACTATGCTAAAGGGTTCTATGTATTTTACATTCTTTAATCCTCCTCACTCTGAGGTACAGCCCTATTACTGAGCCCATTTTAGAGATTCTGAGAGCCTCAGAAAGGCCAGGTTGTCCCAAATCACCTGTGAATAATGGAACAAGGATTTGAACTAGACCTCCAGAACTCCATAGCACTCCCTTTACCACTACTCTAAATGGCACTCTAAATGTGAAAGGGATTAAATCCATTTTGCTGACTAGGGCGCTTAAGTTCAGGCTAAATGTAAACCACTTTTTTTTTTTTTAATATTTATTTTAGAGAGAGTACGAGCTGGGCAAGGGGCAGAGGGAGAGAAATTCAAGCAGACTCTGTGCTGAGCACAGAGCCCAGCATGCGGGCTTGATCTCATGACCTTGAGATCATGACCTGAGCGAAATAAAAAATTGGACACTTAACCACTGAGCCACCCAGGCACCCCGTAAATCACTTTTAATGTAGTAATACCTTTCTAGGTACATTAGGATCCACAGTTTCCCAAGGTTCTGGATTTCTTTTCCGATCAATGCTAGAAATAAAAGAAAGCTGATTAAACACTAAAGTAAGTGAATTTAAACCTACTCTGACACTGGGTCTATAAACATGCTGGGACATCATGGGACAGATCCAGACTGATAAACAGACATTCATCTATTAGTTCACTGACCCTGATGGAAGGTTAGGTAAGGGAACCTCAGGATTTGGCTCAAACATTGAGGACCAATTAATTCCTCTGCTGGGTAGAAGCTCTGTATTCCCTTTGTTGGTCTGGATGGGAGAATGCTCCCATAAACTGAATAGAAATGGGGGTGGAAGTGACAGGATAAGAGCAAGCAAAATATATTCTTGCTCTGGTTTCTAGGACAGGCAGAGGGCTGGGCTTGAACCCTGTAGGTGGTGAACTGCACCGAGCGAGTCCCCTCTGCCAGAGCCTGGCTTTACCCCCCTCCTTTCCAGCCCTGCCCTTGGACGAAGATCAGTTTCAAGTTTTTCTCTTCCTCATATTCCAGGACACATGGTATTTTATCTTCTTACAACCATGGTATTTTATCTTCTTACCTAGAGCTGAGGTTAAGTTCACTGTAGACAACTGAATCTATAAACTCTACCGCATTAGGAAAGATCTTCCTAATAAATTGAAATTTTAAATTTTCATTAAAATAATGATTTAAGTTTGATGACAAATATCCCAAAAGATCATTTAAAAACTTTAAATTTCAAAACTTAAGTTAAAAAAATTAAACTTTGCTGAAGTGGAAGAAGGCCAATGGATGAAAGGATATTTAGATACAAGGAACAAACTCATTTTATTAATATCATAATTTAACAGTCTCCTGGTATCAGGAAGCTTTCTAGTCCCGACTCCAAGTTCACAATTTGACATTCTTACCCTGGGGGTGAAACTAGGAAACTGATACCATGCAGTTCATTACTGAGGTTAACCTAACACTGCTAAAAACATTTTTACAAATGATGCCTACTTACATCACATCACTTTTTTGAAGGGAATATATAGCAAAGGACGAAGCTCCACCCGCTGCTGCGGTCATCATCAGCACCAAAGGAATAAGCTAACAAAGAACAGGTTGAGGGTAAATATTCCGATGTTTCCAGGTGAAACATATGAAATATAACAGAATAGCTACATATCATTTTATATTTTCTTCAAAATATGCACCACCTTTTCATCTTTAAAAAGTAGTTATTTTAAGTCAAGAATTTCAATGGTCTTAAAAACTTACTTCCTTCTTTTTCCTCAGGAGTTGGAAAATGTTCATGATGACTTTACTGTAGAATGCCAAATCTAGAATTAAAAAAAAAAAAAATCCAAGATACTGATCAAAACTTCAGTCACTAGGACCCAACCTGGTGAGGACCAACCGGCCAACGTGCGCCCCAAGGCAGCCTCGGGCGGCTCACCTGGGAGGCGGGGCCGGGCAACACGCGCGAACGATGCAAACGCTCAGAACCGAATTGGGGCCCGGCGTCCGCACTTATATACCGATCACAAACGATGGGCCGGGCCAAGGCACTCTGGTCACGCGGACCGGGCTGGGGGCGTGCGGGGCCTGACTCGCTTTCCCCGCTCAGAGCTGGGCTCCCGGGCGCCCCCTGCAGGACGTCCTGCCCGCGGACGCGACGCAGCCGAACGCGGGCACTGGCGCCCCCTGCCGTCGGGCGTGGTCCTTACCTGCCGCCCGGCGAGAGGGAGGCTGGCGGTTGGCGCTCGAGACCAGACCCAGCGCCTGCAAGGGGGTCGCCGCTGAAAACAAACGGAGCTCCGATGGCCAAAGCCTGGGTGAAAACCGAGCCGTCTAAAAGGCGGTCCGGAAAAGGAGCTGCAGAGCCGGGGGCAGGGGGATGGTGGGGCTCCCAGGTGCAGGCAGGTAAATTAAAATCAATCCAATCACATTAAAAGCTCCAAAATGTGATGCAGCGCACATATGGAGATAATTAAAATTAAATTGTAAAATTCATTTCAGAAGAACTCCATGGTGTCCTGATTTGTTCCACTAAAAGATTTTAATTTCCATTCTCCTCCTTCCCCCATTTCTTTAAATGGAAAAAATCAGGAGGTGAGGGAGAAGAAACAGAATCAGCTTTGGAAAGGTTTCCATCTCGGAGACCACACAGTCTTTGCCTTCGTCTTGAGGTCTCCTTTTAACTCGCCCCTCACAGAGCATGCAGGAGGCTGCAAAAGCACGGAAATAATGCTAACTCTTCCATTAAGCCAGGGCCATGTGTCAGACTCTGTGCCAGAATCTTCCCGGCGTTTTTGCAAGGTGAGTATGTTATTTAGGCTCAGAGATGTTCAAGTCACGTAGCGGGCAAGTGGCGGAGATGTAATTAGAACCCAGGTCTGTCTGGCCCCAACACCGCTGTTCTTCCTGCACCACGCTCTTAGCTACTAGCTCGGTATTTTAAAATAGTTATTTAAAAACAATTATTTTAAAACTGAAGTTCAAGCTATGAGTTAAGGTTAAAACGGAAACATGTGGGATGAGGCTCAGTGAGGCTCATTCCGTTGAGCGTCTGCCTTCGGCTCAGGTCATGATCCCAGAGTCCTGGGATCAAGTCCTGCATTGGGCTCCCTGCTTAGCAGGGAGCCTGCTTCTCCGTCTACCTGAAGCTTCCCCTGCTTGTTCTCTCTGTCTCTCTGACAAATAAATAGATAAAAAATCTTAAAAACAAAACCAAAAAAGGGAAACATCTTCATGTCCTCTGGAAAGGACCAGTCCCAGATCTGTTTCAACCCCGTTTTAGTTCTAGGCATGGGCTTTGCAGGGAAACAGAGCTGAGTTCCGAGCCTACCCTGCCACACTTTATCAGCTGAATGACTTCGAGAAACTACTTAACCTTATGAGTCTCAGTTTATAAATCTGTAAGATGGGGACAAACCTAGCATAGGAGGGGTTTGGAAAAAATGTTAGAATGTATGTAAAGTGAGTGGCATTCTGCCTTGCTTGTAGTAGGCATTCAATAAATAGTAATTATTATTTGCAAAGATTTGTTTTATGTAAGGCTGATCATAAATGTAGCTTCACACCCACTTAATCTGATAAGCAATCTTTACTGTGTAACCTCAGAGCTGTAACTGGAGACATTTTCTGGTTGGTTAGGTTCATTAATCAGTACATCAAAGAAAACTCAACATTAATTCTCTGTGGTTTGTATTGTATAGAACCAAAGGAGCCTTTTAATGCTCCTTCTGCAGGATTTCTAAAACTACTTTTGTCAGAAGTTTCTTTAAAAGGCCTCATTTTTTTAACAATCAAAGATAAGTGTTTCCAGGAAGGAAGGGAGAGAGAAGGGGAAGGAGGAAGGAAGAAAGACATTTTATAGGACTCTATCATGTCCCCCAGATTAAAATGAGTGTGTAGCCCTTACCCACTGATGACTTCAAACTCAGAGCCCTGTTTTGCCAATGTCCTTTCTTTTCAAAATGCAGTACAGTTTTGTAGTAGTCTAGGGCTTAACCTGGAGACAGGGCACAGTAAATTTAAAAGATTAATAAGATAGGAGTCCCTTACTTCAAGATTCATACAATTTAGTGCCTGTAAATAACCCCAGGCATGATCTGGCACCAAAGACACGTGATTAATTCTGACTAAGGGAGTCTGAGAAAACTTACAAAAGATAAGAGTATTTATTTGGGGGCAATTAGGGAAACCAAATGCATACCAGACATGAGAGAATATTAAAGAAGTGTTGTTCATTTTGTTAGGTGTGATAATGGTATTATATTTATGGAAAAAATACCCCCCCTTTTAGAGATTGTATATGGGAATATTTAAGGGCGAAATTTTTTTTTAAGTTAGCTCTAGGCCCAATGTGGGACTTGAATTCACAACCCCGAGATCAACAGTTGCATACTTTTCCAGCTGAGCCAACCAGGTGCCCCTTAAGGAAGAAATATGATGACTGAGATTTACTTTAAAATACTTCTGCTAAAAAACAACAAATAAAACAACAACAAAAAATAAAAACAGAAAAAACAACCTTCTGCTAAAAAACAAAAGAAGTAAATGAAGCAAAATATTAATGATTATTCAGTCTAGGTGATAAGTATGTGGGAATTTGTTACAGTACTCTATTTTATGCTTGAAAATGTTCAGAATAAAATGTTTTAAAAATTCACAAATTATGTGACCTTTAAGACCCATATAACCTTTAAGATCTGCTTATTTCTCCTTGCAGCAATGAAAATTAGACCCAGACAGCCACAATTTCCTTTCTTTAAGTTAATGCCCAAGTTTACTGACCTTGTGGGAGATGCAAGGTCAATACGTAGTTTGTTTTTTCCCAGGATTATTTGCAGGCACAGTTCCCACCCTTCAAACTCTGGCAACCTTTTTAAAGAACCCACTCAGGATACTCACCAGCATCACTTTCCTTGTCTATTCCAAAGCCTATAATCCACAGGGGGAGCCTCCCCCATCCCACTCCAATTGCCAGTAAGTAACTCTAGAACCTTCTCTAGCTGCTGCCAGCCAGGCTTGCAGGGGCATCGAGCTATGGCTGTTTGGCTTCCACTCTAAGAATTTCATCTTAGATTTTAACAAGCCCAGCTCAATCTTTATAAGAAAAATATTCTTTAAAATACTATTTTTGGGGCAACCCTCTCAGATCCCGTCCCTCTTTGGGAGCTTTGTACTATTACTCAATAAACTTTGCTTTGCTGCCCACCACTAAATAATAAAATAAAATAAAATAAAATACTATTTTTTGTTGAAATTCTTTCTGCCCAGCCTTCAGTGACTACCTAGTTACCAGGTTTAGCAAAAACTGGATTTGTTAAATTTTGGAATGTCTGGGGGTGCACTATATTGCTTATGGCTGCTAATGTGGCCCAGAAAGGAGTTTGCGCACAGTGAATAGGGAAAGCTGTTCGCACTTCTCAGGTGCTTAGCAGCTGAAGTGTTCTTTTGTCACTGATTAAGAACACCGGTTTCACAAGTTGCCCAGAGCATCTCTAAATCCCATTAAAACTGAGCCAAAGACATCCTTGATCTGACTACATTATTTATTGTTTTTCAATGAGAGGAGACACATGGTTTTTGTTCTCGGGGGGCTTCCAAAGTTTTGTTGAGAAGTTATCATTACATCATTGAATACTACATCAAAAACTGATGATGTACTATACAGTGGCTAACTGAACATGATAAAAAAAAAGAAGTTATCATTACAATTTAAAAAGACATTTTCAGCCTCTAAACAAAGGGTACTAAATTTCTAGTCTAAGCACTAGAAAATTTTTCTGGGGAAAAACAACTGGTCCACAGCCAGAGTCTGAGGTAAAGGGTTCAGGCCAGCGTGCTGCAGGACTAGGGATGGTGAAGCCCTAATGGCCACCTTGTCCTATAAGATCAATAATTGATAGAAAACATGAATAAAAATTGTCAGAATTCTAATCAGGTTTCTAGGTGTTTTCCCTACTATTCAAAAAGGGTCAGTTTGTTAGAAAAATTTTAATTGAATTATATTTTATCCCTATAAGTAAGACAGCTCTTTTCTTTAATTATCACCCAAATAGGTTTTGCTTAATCAACAGCCCTCCCATCCAAGTACTAACCAGGCCCAACCCTGCTTAGCTTCCGAGATCAGACAAGATCGGGTGCGTTCAGGGTGTTAATGATGCAATGTATGGTGATTAACATAACATAATAAAACATAAAAAATAAACCAAAAAAAAAAATCAACAGCCCTGGCTCCAGTCAGAAATAGGAAACTTTCCAACAACCGTGTAATATTTATAATTCCATATATGTTGTGCACTATGCTCTCATAGTACCCCGCGCTTCTTTTGAAGCACGTCTCTTTGTTGTATGTAATTCACCACGATTTGTCTGAGGTCTGTGCTCCCAGGTGGCCTGTAGGGCACTTTGTCTCCTCCATTTATAGCCCAGCACCTAGTATGGCGCCTCCCGAGTGAAGAAAGCCTCAGTAAGATGCTTACCAGACTTGGTTAGGTGAGAAAAACAAGTCAAGAGCTACATAGTGCCATGCATTTTTGGTTTTTAGAAAATGATCTATACATGCATAAGGGACTAAAAGATGATATACCTAAGTATTTTCTTTGTGTTTATCTGTATATTTTCTAACATTTTAATTACTTTTGTTTTAAAAGGAAATAAAAACATACACATAATCTATCTCCTTAAAAGTTGCTTTAATTACAAAAGGAAAAATAATAGCTATATATAGAGGAATTGGACAATCCTGTGAAGAAGTGATCAAAATTAATATCATCGATATGTGTAGCCTCGTGTGTCCCCAGCAGTGATCTCTGAGAACATGGCACTTATGTAGCGCTCCCCTGGTCATGCATAACCTGAATCCATCATGATGCAAAATCAGACAAACACAAATCAGAAGTCAGTCGTTCTATAAAATAGTTGGGTCTGTACTCTTTATTTTTTTTAATTTAAATTCTATTAATTAACCTATAATGTATTATTTGTTTCAGGGGTACAGACCTGTGATTCATCAGTCTTACATAATACCCAGTGCTCATTACAGTACATACCCTCCCCAGTGTCCATCACC